ACTTGTCTCCTTTCCCATTGTCAGCCTGTCCCGAATGTCACTGCCATCCCTGGCAAATGGAGCCTATTCTTAGGTCCTGTTTTCACTTAGGTTTTCCCACTAGTTGGTGCCTAATCCACTTCTGTATACTTCCTTTCAAAGCTCAGGGCTCCAGGATTATCTTCTATATCTCTGTCAATTGGTTTTTCTTTTCTTTGTTGAAGAGGGTCTGTGTAGCTTGTCTGCCTATTCTGCCATCTTACCAGAAGTCCCTCCCTTCCGTCTTCTTTTGATGTTTCCTGCATTATTCAATATTTTGCCCATAGAATCTTTCAATATTGCAACTCGAGGCTTAAATTTTTTCCTCAGTTGTTTCAACTTGAGAAATGCTGAGTGTGTTCTTCCCTTTTGGTTTTCTAACTCCAGGTCCTTTGCACATTTCATTATAGTAATTGGCTTTGTCTACTGAAGTTTCTCTTTGAAATCTTCTGTTCAGCTCTTTTATCTTGTCATTTCTTCTATTTACTTTAGCTACTCTCCACTCAAGGACAAGTTTCAGAGTCTCTTCTGACATCCATTTGGGTCTTTTCTTCCTTTCTTGTCTTTTTAATGACCTCTTGCTTTCTTCATGGATGATGTTCTCGATGTCATCCACAATTCTGTTTTTCTGTCATTGGTGTTCAACACATCAAATCTATTCTTTAGATGGTCTCTAAATTCAGGAGGAATATTATCAAGGTCATATTTTGGCTCTTGTGGACTTGTTTTAATCGTCTTCAACTTCAACTTGAACTTGCATATGAGCAGTTGATGGTCTGTTCCACAGTCAGCTCCTGGCCTTGTTTTGGCAGAAGATTTGAACTTCTCCATAGCCTTTTGCCATAGATGTAGTCAATCTGATTCCTGTGTATTCCATCTGGTGAAGTACATGTGTATAGCCACTGTTTGTGTTGTTGAAAAAAGGTATTTGCAATGAATAAGTTGTTGGGCTTCCAAAATTCTATCATCCCATCTCCAGCATTATTTCTATCACCAAGGCCATATTTTCCAACAACCGGTAACTCTTCTTTGTTTCTGACTTTTGCATTCCAGACACCAGTTATAATCAACACATCTTGATTGTATGTTCAGTCAATTTCAGACTGCAGAAGTTGGTAGAAATCTTCAATTTCCTCATCCTTGGCTTTGGTGGTTGGTGCATAGATTTAAATAATAGTATTAACTGGTATTCCTTGTAGGCATATGGATATTATCCTATCACTGACAGCATTGTACTTCAGGACAGATCTTGAAACAGTCTTTGTGACGATGAATGCCACACCATTCCTCTTCAAGTTGTCATTCCTGGCATACTAGATCATATGGTTATCTGATTGAAAATGGCCAAAACCTGTCCATTTCAGCTCACTAATACCTAGGATATTGATCTTTATGAGTTTCATTTCATTGTTTAGAGATACATAGGTAGGCTGAATGATTAGGTATATCTAGGCAAAAGGGAATATCTACCCATGACCATATATAAGTTTGGCAGATGATATTTCTATATATGTATTTGTATGTGCTATAAGAATGTTCAGGTAAATAGAACTAACAGAGGGCAAAGTTATGATAACTTGTAAGCCATAGACAACCACCCTAAGAGAGCAAGTTGTTGGGTCTGTGGGCTCAGGACCATGTTGCAGGAGATATCAAGCAAAACTGACATGACATACTACAGAAAATTATTGTTCTGCAGCCTACTTTGGTGAGTAGTAACTGGGTCTTAAAAGCTTGCAAGCGGCCATCTAAGATACAATTGGTCTCTCCTAGTCTGGAGCAAAGGAGAATGAAGGTAACCAAAGACTCATGGAAACAATTAGTCCAAGGGACTAATGGACCATGCAAACATCAACCTACGTGACCCTGAGACCAGAAGAACAAGATGGTGCCCAGCTACTACTGTCAATCACTCAGAAAGGGATTGGTGCAGGAGATCCTGGATAGAGTGGGAGAAAAATGTAGAAAAAACTCAAAATCATAAAAAAAGACCAGGTTTACTGATCTGATAGAGACTGATGAAATCCCTGAGACTATGGCCTCAAGTTTCCCTTTGGGCCTGGAACTGACCTCACTTTCATGGCTTCCAGCCAAACAATGTTGTTGTTATGAGCTGTCAAGTCGGACCCGACTCATAGCAACCCCTCCTTGGGTTTCCAAGGCGATATCACTATGGAAGTAGATTGCCCAACTATCCTTCTGAGGAGTGGCTGGTGGGTTTGAACTGCCAGCCTTCTGGTTAGAAGTCAAGTGTCTTAGGCACTATGCTACCAGAGCTCCCAGCCAAACAATCAACAGGCATATAAGGTGAACATTTACACTATGTAGGTATATTCCATAGAACAATCAATCATCATAGGAAATAAGAAGGACACTATTTGCACAGGGAGATAGCTCAGAGGACAGGGATGCATAGGAAAGGACACAGGAAAAAGGCAACCACAGGATGGAAGTGGGAAGACAGTTGTTACAGTATCGGGATTGCAGTCATTGCCATGAAACAAAATGTATGTGAAACTGCTATATGGAAAATGAATTTTCTCTGTAAACTTTCCCCAAAATCACAATAAATAATTTAAAAAGGAGAAAACTTTACCAGGATAGTTTCAGCTCTGCCTGAGCATTTCCTGGAAATGTGCCTTTAACAGTCCAATACACATTACAGGCATTTGACATGGGATCAGTTCTTGGGAAAAGAGAGTACAGAGTGTCTGAAAATAGCTACCATTCATTGAGCACTTACTGATGCTATGGATTATGCTCACATACTTTATTGTCTCACTTGATCCTCATAATAAAGTAGGTATTATTATTATTCCCACTTTAAGATGAAGAAACCAAAATGCAGAGTTTGAATGACTTTCCTTAAGCCCCACAGCTGGTAAGTGGCAGAGCCAGGATCTAAATTCAGGTCTGGTTGGCCCCTTGTACCATGTTCTCAATCACAGTCTCTAAGATTGGGATGTCACTCCAAAGGGAAAGGTTTCAATAAGGGCCAAGAATGCCAAGGGCAAACTCTGACTACTTCCTATTTTTCCCCAACTGAAAACCAACAAAGAAAAGCAATTTGAAAAACATATGTGGGGCTGCTTGTAGCTACCATGTTCCAGTTGATCATAATATTGCTGATGTTCTCTCCCCACTTGGTGAAACTTTTCCCATTTTGCAATCTAGCCTCTTAAAGGGATGTCAGACCTTTTCCCTCGGGAACAAAATTGAATATTTTTTAAACATACTTATACCAATTTCTTCCATGAGGCACACCAAACTGTTTAAATTTTTTTTATTGTTGTCTGAACATTATACTAAGTTGGCACTAAATAAAATATGCATGTGTTATGACACTGCATCAATCTTCATTTTTTATAGGGAGTCAGAGAGATCTTAGACATCTTACAGATCTGTATGTGTATTATTCTTGTTGCTTTCCAAACATAGTTTCATGTCTTTTCCTCCCTACTTCTAGGATGGATGATGGCCGGCTGTTAGACTATCTTATGAATCATGATGAGCTGATGGAGGAAAAAGTAGCCTTCTACATCCGAGACATCATGGAAGCTCTGCAGTACCTTCACAGCTGCAGGGTTGCACATTTGGACATAAAAGTAAGAGGAAAATCGGAGTCCTTGCAGAGAAACTGCTAAGTCTAACTTACCAGTAATGACCCTTGAAGAATGTAAATTCTAACTCATTTCACTTAGAATACTTAGAAATATTACACAGAAACTAGGTTGCCACAAAATTTAAGTGAGTTATTCATGAACCAATGAAAACAACACCAGGGTAAAAATAACATCTGGGGTGAAAGAAGGGCGGGAGGCTTTAGCCACCTAGTGTGACTTCATAGACTAATTAGACCAGTTGCCATCAAGTAGACTCTGACCCGTGGTGACCCCGTGTGTGTCAGAGTAGAATTCTGTTCCATAGGGTTAATTTTATTGAAGGGACCCAGTAAATGTCACCTTCTCTCTCATGGTGCTCAAAAAGGAGCCTCTGTTCTTCAAACTGAATAATTTGTTCTTTTCTTGACTTGATCCCAAAGCAAGAGGTAGATAAGAAGACATGATTCTCAATGTCCAACAACTCTTCTGAAGTCCCACCCAAACTTAGAGTTTTCTTTAATTTGAAGCCTCCCATGCATTTTACTTAGGGAGTTTCCCATACACTACAGGTTTTGTCAAAAGATAGCAGAACTATGTTTGAGCTAAGGGTGTCCTACTGCTGGTCAAAAGAGAGAGCTGAATTTGCCTTCTCTTCTCCCTGCCTTGCTGGATCTCCACAGCCTGAAAACCTGCTCATCGACCTCCGGATTCCAGTGCCTCGGGTGAAGCTCATCGACTTGGAGGATGCTGTCCAGATCTCAGGTCACTTCCACATCCACCACCTTCTGGGGAACCCAGAGTTTGCTGCCCCGGAAGTGATCCAAGGCATCCCTGTGTCACTAGGCACAGATATCTGGAGCATCGGGGTGCTGACATACGTCATGCTGAGTGGAGTTTCCCCCTTCTTGGATGAGAGCAAAGAGGAGACATGCATCAATGTCTGCAGGGTGGACTTCAGCTTCCCCCATGAATACTTCTGTGGCGTGAGCAATGCTGCCAGGGATTTCATCAATGTGATCTTACAGGAAGACTTCCGGAGGCGGCCCACGGCAGCCACCTGCCTACAGCATCCATGGCTGCAGCCCCACAATGGCAGCTACTCCAAAGTCCCCTTGGACACCTCCCGCCTGGCGTGCTTCATAGAACGCCGCAAGCACCAGAATGATGTGCGTCCTGTTCCCAATGTAAAGAGCTATATCGTCAACCGGGCAAACCAAGGGACGTAGCCATCTCCCAGCCCTGGAGGTTTCACATAGATGTGCCGTGTGAACCAAAGCAAGACTGAATGTGTCTGTAAATAGGACTCTGTTAATGATTTTCCTCCATGTTATCCTCCGGATTGAGAGATGTACCTCTTAAACCTTTTCAGTGGTTATTCAGGGTCTGAGCAACAGTCAAAGTTATACCCTAAATTCAGGGGCTTTCCAGATTGCCCAGAAGAGATAAAGATGCAAAGAATGACAGAATTATCAAAAAGAGGGGCAAAGATAACAAGAATATTAGATGAGCTGTTATAAAAATTCTAATCATGAATTCCAAAATAAGTGGTTAACCAGGCAAACTTAAGCTCATGAGGATGAGGATAGAAGGTTTCTGCCTTTGCTGAAATTTTAAGCAAAAAGTTCTATTTAATAGAGATGTCACGTGTGTCAACTATTCCTGTTTAGTTGACTTAGATATAGTTTCTTAATAGGATACATATACACATTCAGTATAATATATCCCATTCAGGTTTCAGAGTTTTATAATATAGAGATATATATGAAATCAATCATAAATAACTTTGAGTGCTCCAGTGAAGACAATAATTTATTTACCGAAGCAGTACATTGTTTTGACTAAGCACAATTAGATGACGAGTTTTTTAGAGCATTTTATAAATCTTGTATAGAAATCTTTTACCAAAACCTGTGGATTAGGAGAAAGCAGTGATACCCTTTTGCAATCTATAAACAAGAAGATTTTTCTCTCAGCCACAGGTTATTTGATTAACATAGGTTCTGTATATGAAAAGCTATCCCCAAATTCACTGGCAGCTCAAAGTTAATCTGGCAGGAAAGCCTGCCAGGAAATAAGTCCAAATACAGTAAGAGTTGTGGGGCTATTTTTATGTCTACACCTGGTTTGAAATAGGTAAATGAATATAACAAGCTCATATAAAAGGGCAAATAGAAACCTTTCCTACAGTTCCAATGAACAAAGAAACAACACTTTCTGATTTCTTCTACAGCTGTAGAGATAGTCCTCAGAAAGTTGGCTTGCTTTATTTCTAACTCCTTCCTGAAGCTAAGGGGTGCTTACCAAAAGGAAGCAGCCATACAGGCCTCTGAAAGGCCTGATCCCAAGTCCTTTCTGAAGCCATGGAGCAAAACCTGATACATCACCCTAACAAAACACTGAGTCTTAACTGAGATTGCAGTATCTGTCATCACTCAGCTGATATTTCACTGGACTAAAAGGACTAATTGTACTTTGAGGCCAATGATGCTCTCTACTGTATATTCATACAAGATTACCCTTAACTGCCCTTTTTCCCTCATGGGGGAAAAAAAATGAAATCTGGGCACTTCATGGTTTTTTCTTTGGGTTTATTTCTTTTGGGGGGGAGCTTTTGTTTTTGTGTTTGTACATGATCCACACTTTGTTTTCCAGAATATGTTTTGAAAGTTGGTATGATGCAAATAATATTTAAAAATGTTACTCAAGTGTTTGTCCAAATCAGGTTTCATGGTATCACTTCTCTCCTATGATAGGATTGAGAAAGTTAAAATCATGCATAGAAGTGCAAGCGTACAGTTTATGAAGGATAAACTAGAACTACAAACCTATCTACATGGGAATTAAAAGGTGGAAAGTAAGCCTGAACTTTAATATATAAAAACACTTCACCCCACAGTGGAAATGTAGAATTAAAAATACTCATCATTCTTTTCCACTGATTTTAAAGTCAACATCTTCATCCACCCTTTACCCCACTCCATCCAAGATTATATATTAATAAATTAGTAGAAAGTACAAGCAATAAGACTAGATAGCACTTAGTATTTTGGGGATTAACCAAATATGTGGAAACCGACTCAGACTGTATTAGTTTCCTAGTTTTTGAATGGCCCTGGGTCATTGAGTCTAACTCTTTCAAAGCGCTCTCTCCACTAACCCTCCACATTCTTCATTTGAACCTATAGGTATATACAAATACTATATGAGGCAATATTTAAAATGTAAAGCATATTTACTAAAAACCTTCTAGTAAACATGTCTTCAGTATGGTATATAGCATAAAAGAAAGAAGCCTGGCCCTAGGGTATATCACGGGATAGACTGTAGGCTCTGAGGAGTCCAAATATCCATACTTGGCTTGGTAAGTTCTATCTGTCCACTGTGGATGACTTGACTAAAGAGACTCCTGCTGAGTCATTTTGGGTTTCTGTGACCAGGTAGGAGACAAGCTGATTTTCTGTTTGAAAGTTATAGGGCTAGGAAAATGGTGTACAGACAGTGGCAGGAGGGCATTATTGAAATCGTGCTGTGGGGGTTACAGAATGTTAGAGCTAAAGCTTTCACATTCACAGTTGGGATGATCCAGGTGGTGTGAGGTTCCATGGACTCTCCTCCCCTAAGAACACATGTTGGGAAAAGTGAGAAGATACAAAGAAAAGAGAAGAAGGACAAAGAAATAAAAAGTAGTATGGTTTTGAAGCCAAAATAGAATCGTTAGAATAGAGTGAATGCAGCAGAGGCCCCCAGGGGAGGGGGATATATTTTCTATAGTTTGATAACTCAAGAGAATTAATAGGCAGACTTCCTGTCTGCAAAGCTCCTGGTCCTTCTCAACAGCAATAGGGTAGTGGTCTTGGTTCAAGAATTCGCCTTGGCAAGGTGAAAGTAGCAAGAAATCACAGAAGATGGAGGTAGAAAATGTACATTTAGGTTCCTCTGTGGGCAAAGGCAGTGAGGGGCCCACTCTTTTTACCTGCCCTGGACACGGATATTCATTACTTGGTGGTTGAGAGCTGCAGAGAGGAGAAAATAGTCCATTTCTACTGTAATTACAGCAGTTCTTAACTAGGAATAGAGGAAGTATATTTCCAGTTGAAATGGGAAAAATAAATGTTGGCTAAAGTCACACATTTCTTGCTTGCATTGGGGTTTTTGTTTTGTTTTTAGTAAGGATGGGATGTATAAGGAAGGAAAAGGTCAGGGACCTATATTAATTGAAAAGTACAATGATTTATTGCATATTTTACTTTTTTTTTTTTCCCCAAATTAAGTAGATTTATATCCACTCAGAGCTGAATGTGAGAAAAATTAAGACCAAAATCGGTAATGTTGGAGGTGTCCTTCAGGTCTCACAGCCATAAGCGATCCAAGTGGGAGTGGAAGAAGCAGAGGAGGAGGCTGGCTTCGCTGCTTTGTGGTTCACAAAGCCTTTATAAATAGTAGTGCCTTTCAAAGAGGAGGATGGGAGATGAAGAAGTTCATTGTATTTAGATTGACTGGTATTTCAGCATTTTTTTTTTCTTTTTTAAAAAATGTCTTTTAAATGAAACATCTCGATTGAGGGTGAGGCCAGGAATTCTTGTTTCAACCTCAGCTATTCCTGTTTCATCCTTTCTTACAGAAAGTAAGTCTTTGTTTTTTCTGCCCCAAATGTCCCCATTGGTAAAAGGGGAGTTGGGAGGAAGAAGGGAAGACATTAATCTCACAGGAATGTTGGGAAAATACCTTAGTAGTGATGTCTATAAATATTTTTTTAAGTGCTACACACTGCCAGTGCTAAGAATTTTACTGATAGTAACTTTGAACATTCCAGGTTTTCAATATTCACATCTTTAGATACTGTTTGCAAACTCATGAGATTTAAATTCAGTAAATGGCTTTTAATTGGAAGCACTAGGTGCTTGTTGTCTAAATGTTATTTGGTCTAGCCTGTGATTTTGATCATTTAAAAGCTTGTCTACAGAAAAGGGTTAGGAGAGCTGAGGAAGTCCTATCAATATAAGTGTTTTCCCCAGTATTTTTTATGGCAGACAGGAAAAGTAATATGCTCTCCAAAGCAACCACTACTCTCTCTTCTCAGGCTTTATGCCTCAGACAAATTGAGAGTAGAACCCAAACAGCGAATTTCCTCACTGTGCGGGCCGGGGTGAAAGTAAAATACCTTCTGACACCACAACTTGTTTCTTCAGAGTCTCACAGCCTTCTAGTATAAGAGGTAAATTAAATGCACAAATTAAATAAATGCAAAGTGAGTTGAACAGCGGATTTTTGGAGGGAAACTTTGGATCTTTCTTTTAGATGCCTAGGCCTTTCAGGAGGAGCATCTTTGCTTTCCGATAGCCTCAACGATTTAGTGCCCATGAATTAGACCTTACTTTTTTCTTGCCTATGTGGAAGAGCATGGAAATTTAGGTTTTTGAGAATATGAGGGAGCAAATACGTTGTAAACTAAATCATGGTTATTTCTGTGTTTTAACTAAAACTTTGTCCCATGCATTCGATAGGAGGAAATATTTCAAACATAGCGGTCTCTGTAGCAGGGCAAAAGTGCAAACCACCACTTCCTTATCCGGGACGATGAATTATCCTGGACCAGTGATGAGGAATGTGGACCTCATTTCTTTCTCTCTTGAGTAGCATCACTATGGAGTCTGAGTTAGACAAACACAGGATGTAAGCTTTTAGAGGATTTATGTGTAAAGCTGCATCATAAATTGTCTTAATGATTTAAAATCTAGGGATCATTTAGAAATGAATGATTAAACCCTGGGGTGGGAGGTGGGGGTAAGACAGAGATCACCCATGCTTCACCAAAACAAAAGGGAAGCTACTGTGCTGTTTTCTAAAAACTGGAAGACTCTCAGTTTTCATTAATTCTAGAGGGTTAAAGGAGGTGGAAATCTGTGCACAGCACTAGACATTTTTGATAGGTAATGTTATTCATGTGAGAAATTTACAGAAATAATGGAACACAGAAATGTCATATGACCGTATTTCCTATGAAAGGCATTTTTTCATTTTTAATATATAGAGAAGGTAGAGCAGAGGACAAAGCAACCATTCTCTAAGACATCTTCAGGGGACGTTTACAGAAAACCTGAAATCCATGCTCATGGGCTATTGTATTTTCCAGGCAGCCTGTTTGCTAGGAAATTCTAAAATGTCATCAGACTTAGTTTTTATTCTGTTGATCAAGTTTATCCTTTTGGTTTAGTTGGACAACTGTTATTTGACACAGTGAAGATAGCTGAGCAAAGGGAGAGTGGTGGAAAAAGTGCAGATAACAACTCTTGGAATCCCAACTCCTGAGGCTTAATATAAAGACACTAATTGGCTAGCCCAGGAAAAACTAACATAGAATTCCATCAATGCCTGACTTGTATCAGGAAATGAATCCATTCTGGAGTACTTCTGTGACCTCAGAGACTGTGGTAATAAATTTGAAGTTGACAAAACAAACATCTTCTCTTACTAACTGAAGCCATATCTGTCATCTCTGTGTTTGATTTTTTGGCCCTGGTGCTTTTACTTCTGTTTCTGCCAAACTTCAGGCCACTCTGTGGGGAAGGTGAGTAAAAGGAGTAGGACAAATGTGAGGACAGTTGTGAATAAACTAAACATATTCTTCAGAATTAAGATCCTATTCAGAGAACAGTAGTGATCAAAGTGCAGACTGTTGGAAAGTATGGCTATGTGTACATCTGTACATGTATATAGTGTAAAATATGTATGTATATGTTATTGCTCATATGCAGAAATCTATCCCTTTGCAGACAGCTGAGATGGGTCAGTTTTTCAGTTGGAAAACACCTTAGGGCCATTCAAAACCAAATTCAACTCCTTTAGGAAATAATTTGCTGTTTTTTAAAGTCCACAAAGCCAAACTAACAGAGCCTGAAACATTATAATGGGACTATCAGTTAGTTTAGTCTGTTTACCTGGAGTCAGAACTATCTTTATATTTGAATTATTAATACTTGGTTTGCAAATTGCATTGCCACCTGTTGGTTTTGAGTGACTCCCAAAGTCTTCTGAGAGTTTGGGTGGGCTTCTCTGGCCATACAGATAAAGGGCCTTATCCATAAGTGGACAGGTTTCCCCATACAGACCATTACACATATACATATAGATACATGCATCCATCAGGCTTGTAACAATCGATTTTAAACCACTCCACAGTATTGATAAATAGCTCTATATTTTCAAGGTGCAGAAGAATTCCACAGCCTTAATTATTTCAGTGTCTTGCTGGTCTGCCTTAAGTGTATCTTATGGGTTTTTGATTGTTTTCTTATTTTTTAATTTTTCTGCGGTTCTTCATTTTGTATGCACACAATGTCGTTTTGTAAAGGTAGGTTGTAAATATTTTACTTGTAAGTCAAAATCACTCATGTGTAATGTTGTAAAGTGATGACCTGGTGTCTTGTTATTACTACAGTAAATGTTATAAGTTATGGATGAAGCTTCAAAATGTACATCTCACATGTTATGCATTCCTATAAATATACTAAAGATACTATTTCTGGTCATTTTCTTTCTTTCTTTCTTTCTTTTTTCCCCCTAGTTAAAACCTTTGTTCAATGAAAAGAGTAATTTTTTTTTCTTTTCTCCCCCAAATATACGGGAGCGGAAAGGAAACTCATTCTTTTTCTTTCTTTCTTTCTTTTTTTTTTTTTAACAAACTGTGCAATTTTATTTAACAAACTGCTTTATAGTACTTTGTGTCAGGCATTATTCTGTGTTCATGATGATTATTAACTTTTTTTTTTCTTTTTATTGTGATTTGGGTGAAAATTTACAGAGCAAATACACTTTCCATACAGCAGTTCACATACACTTTGTCTCATGACATTGACCACAATTTACCACAATGCAACAGCTCCCCTCCCACTTCCGCCCCATAGTTACCTCTTCCCTGTGTCCATCCCTCCATGCACTCCTGCCCCCTGAGCTGTCTCCCTGTGCATTAGCAGCCTTCTTTCTCCCATGCTTGTTCTCTCCAAGGAGTGTACCTACCTCAGGTAAATGCTCAACTCATATGCCTGTCCATTGTTTGGCTGGAAGCCACAGGCGTGCCTTCAATTCCAGACCTGAAGGGTAGCTAGGGGCCATAGTCTCAGTGGTTCCACCAGGCTCTATTGGGCCAGCAAACCTGGTCCCCCCGCCTTTTTTTTCCAAATGATTATGACTTTTGTTCCACATTGATCTCCCTATCTATCCAGGATCTCCTACACAGATCCCCTTCTAAGTGGATGACAGTGGTAGCCAGGCACCATCTAGTTCTTCTGGTCTCATAGTCATATAGGCTGCAGACTGGATGGTGTACCAGTCACCAGGACTAATTGTTTCCATGAATTTTTGGTTTTCTTCATTCTTTTTGGCTCTGGACAAGGAGAGACCCATCATTGCATCTAGATGGCAGCTTGCAAGCTCTTAAGATCCCAGTTGCTACTCGCCACAGTAGGAGGTGGAACAATGTTTTGTATAGTATGTTATGCCAATTGAGCTTGATGTCCTCAGCAACTATGGTCCCAAGCCCACAGGTTCAACTACTCGGTCCCTCTGGGTAGCTGGCTGTGATCAAGCAGTGACTTCAACCTTGCCCCTTGTCAGCTCCATTACACACCTGGGAATTCAGATCATACACATAAAGTTATAGGACCACTGTCTGCCAACCCTATACATGTTCTTGGGTGCACTCCCCACTTCATAGACATAGCTAATAGTTCAGCCTGTCCACCCATCTATCCACCCATATACCCGTGTAATAAACTCATTCTTATTAAATTTTTTACCCATCATTTTACAAAGCAAGCAACAATTGTGTACCCTGAAGAAGTATCCTGAGGCATTTCTCTATCCAAAGATGCTGAGGTATGTTGATGACTTTATTCTGGCAATTCATGTGGTAATAATGTTGGCAGTTCATTCGGCCGGGATCTCCCAAACTGATGCACAATGGTGTGGACTCCAGGAGTCCAGGTGAGGCTGTGCTGACATGATCAGGCCGGTAAGAGTCAGCTTGTGCCACCCAAGTGCAAATGAGACTGATTCACAGTACACTGTCAAGTAGCCAAAGCATTAGAGCTAGAAACGTTTTGATTAACTTTATCAATATGGACAAAAATGTTTTAACATTTGACTTCTACTTCATCCAGATTTTACTGCATATATTTGTAATAAGTTTTAACTGTCAAAAGCAGGGGCTCCTCACAATGGTTGGTTAGCCAAGTCTCTTCAAAGAAAGGAAACCAGTATAGAAATGAAATCCGAATCAGTTTGGTGAATTAAAATTATGCAGATTAAAGTATCTTTACTGTAGAGGGAGGGGAATGATCCCAAGCGAGTTCAGGGCAGCACTCGCACCAAAGGTGGAGAGACCGAAGAAATGACTTGGAGCCATGCTCCGTGACATGAATTTATTGGGACTTACTTACTGGGAGTCCAGGGGCGTCAGGCCGAACAGACAGGGAGAGAAGAATAGAGGGAAGGGGGTAGGGGTGAGAGTGAGAGAGAGAGAGAGAAAGAGAGAGACAGTCAAACTGCCTTAAAGCTACAGGCAATTTTTATACTTAAGTACGCAAAAGGGGCACTCTGCCAGCCTTACATGACCTCTCATTCCTGCACGCCCACGTTCCAGGAAGTAGAGCTCTGGGTCCAGGAGTCCATGTCCATGTAAGTCTCTCAGGGCTGTTTCAAGGCCAGAGTTACAGCCCAGCATGCCTGCAGAAACAATGATCAGTAGCGGGCAGCCTGGTAAATCCCAGAGTGGAATTATCAGAACCTTTGCCATCTGTAGGTATGCAGCATGATTACCCTACATATACTGGAAATTTTTTCCAATTTAAGGGATTTATTTGTAAAGCCCAAAATATGCTTGGATTTTCATATTAGCTAGAAAGATTATCCTCCTGATTACCTTGATATTGATAAATCCGTCCTCCTCCACTCACTCCCCTTTCTTCCTTCTACAACTGCTGTACAAATGTTATGTGTACCAAATGCTTGAGGTACTCTAATGGAAATAAACACTAACTATTTAAAGCCTTAAACTCCAGGGATCCTCCCCAGTGAAAATCAACAGAAGCACAAATGCTAGCGTTCCGTTAGTGACCATCACATAACTGTCCCCAGCTGGGGCGGGAGGGCCAAGAGCTAGCGGTCCCAAAAGCCGCCGGAAAGCAAGGAGGAAGAGGCGGGGCTTCCTGTGACGTTATCGGTGCGCCGGCGGGTAGGCGCGCTTTGGAGATAGGAACAAATTGAGAGCACGCGACGATGGCGGCCACCACTACCTCGTTGGCGCCATTGGTAATAGGTCTGTACGATGTGCAGGCTTTCAAGTTTGGGAACTTCACGCTGAAAAGTGGACTCTCCTCCCCCGTCTACATCGATCTGCGAGGCATTGTTTCTCGACCACGTCTTCTGAATCAGGTGCCAGCCGGGAAAATGAAACCTAGCGATTGGGGGTGGGAGGGTGGAGGGTGTCTCAGGAATTGGCCTGTGAGTGAGAAAGGAAGAGCCAAGCAGAAGGAGACCCGACTGTCGGCCTGAGGAGTAGGTTTCAGAAGCATAGAGACCAGGAAAGTATTTCGCTTTTGTGGACTTAGAGAATAGCCTGTATTTTTACCGTAATGTCTTGGACATGTGCTTTGCAAGAGAAGCAGGAAACTCAGTTTCTGATTTGCACAGTCCAGCATTTTCATAGTGGTGGTTGATTTTGTTTTCATGGAAATCGTGGTAATCACATCACTTAGCATTTGGATTCCATTCTTTTCATTTAAAGAGTGATGGAACAGTTGTCTCCCACCCGTTTGTTGTATTGTGGTGTCTTGCTGGTTGCTCTGATGCTGGAAACTATGCCACTGGTATTTCAAATGCCGGCATTGGACACGCTCATAGTAGACAGGTTTCAGTGGAGCTTCCAGACTAAGACAGTTGATGAAGAAAGGCGTAGTGATTTACTTCTGAAATTAGCCATTTAAAACCTTGTGGATCACAACAGAACGATATCTGACTTGCTTGCTTTGGACATGTCATCAGGCAAGATCAAATGCTGGAGGGAGATAGATCACATTTGGTGAAGCAGAGGCCAGCGAGGGTAAAGGAAGGAGACCTTTGGTCAGATGGATTGGCATAATAGCTGCTGTCATAGACTCAAACATGCAGGTGATGACACAGAATCAAGCATTGTTTTATTCTGTTGTAAATAGGGTCACAATAAGGCAGAGTTGACAGCAGCTGACTACCTTTATAAAGTTCTAGGATAACGTGAATACTTTCACTACTATAGAAATTACATCCTTTACAACTTAAAAAATAGTTTCAAATCTTTAGAAGTACAGAACACGTTTTTGAAGATCTGTAGTATAGTTCACAAAGGAGTCCTGGTGACGCAGTGGTTAAACATTTGGCTGCTAATCAAAAGGTTGGGGGTTGGAACTGACCAACTGTCCACAGGAGAAAGATGAGGCAGTCTGCTTCCATAAAGAGATACAGCTGTGGAAACCCTATGGAGCAGTTCTACTCTGTGCTACAGGGTTGCTATGAGTTGGAATCAATTCGATGGCAATGGGTGGGTCTAGTTCACTAAGCAACTCTGAGTGCTGTCCCTCCACCCCACCCCCCGTAAAGTAAAGGGATAACTGGGGGTAAAACAAAACAAACAAAAAACTCACTGCCGTTGAGTTAATTCTGACTCATAGCAACCCAATAGGACAGAGTATAACTTCCCCCAAAGGGTTTCTACAGCTGAAATCTTTATGGAAGCATATGGCCGCATTTTTCCTCCACTCTGCCAATCTTTCAGATTAGCAGTCACACTCTTTAACCACATAGGGTGCATTTCAACATTAAAATATGTTGACTTATGTGGAAAAGGAGACTATAATACTTCACATACTAAGCTCCGTTCTTATGAAACTGCTTCTTTTTTTTCCTTTTATTGTGCTTTGGGTGCAAATTTACACAGTAGATTTGTTTTACGTTCAACCGTTCATGCACATTTGATTTCACAGCCCTGATTACAATTCCCAACCGTGAAAAACTTTCCTCCCTGTGACTCCTCCCTCCCTGTGGCCTTATCTGTGCATTCCTGCCTGTCCAGCTTTCCCTCTATGTGAATGCTGCTCTTGATGTCTCATGGCTCATTGATCTAAGGGGTGCATCTCCCTGGGGTAGGTGTTCTGCATGTAAGTCTTTATACTGTTGGGCTGAGAGCCAGTCCATGAAAGTTAGTATATTTCTAGGCCCGAAGGGTAACCTGGGGCCAAAGTCTCCAAGTTTCCATCAGTCTTTATCCGACTAATAATTCTGGTAGTTTTTGTGTTTTTGAATTTTGTTCCATATTTTTCCTCCTACTCTAACCAGGACCTCCAATTTTGATCCCTTCTGACTGATTGGCATTGGTAGCCAGGCACCAGTTAGTTCTGGTCTCGGGGTTGCAAAGGCCGGGCCGAAGTCCTTGTGGCCCATTATATCTTTGGACTAATTGTTTCCAAATGACTTTGATTTTCTTCACTCTTCTTTGCTTCAGGTGAGAGGAGGCCAATAGTTGCATCTTAGATGGCTGCTCAAAGGCTTTTAAGACCCCAGTTGCTACTCACCAAAGTAGGGTGTAGAATGAGACTTTTAGGTACTATGTTGTGTCAGTTGAGCATGATGTCCACTGAGACTATGGTCCTGAGCCTACAGGCCCGGTGATTCTGTCTTATGAAACTTCTTAATTGAAGATACCTTTCAGGCTGAAAACATAAAGATACTCAAAGTACACTGGATTACTATTACTATGGGAAACAGTCTTTAAAGTCATCATCATGACCTTCCCCAACACATCTCATGTTGCCCTTGAGACACACCTCAAACAGAGTAGGTTCCTTGTGTTTGTATATTAACATTTGTAAACTGAGGAGGAGAGGGTAATTTAAAAAGACTTTTATATTTTTCCTGTTAAGTGTGGGACTACTCCCCACTGGAAT